GACGCGATAATGTATATATTTATATAAGTGAATGCAATGGAATGATGAACTTACGTGCGGCGCTGGGGTGCATGGTGCACACTCGATGACCCTTCAAACACTTGGCGTACTTTAGCTTGCACGTCGTGATGGACGTGATGGTCGGTCAGTACTTGCAGCACATTCTACCGGACATATAAAGTCATACCATCGCATATATATATATATATATGTCCAGGGAGTAAAATATATATCTCCATGGAATATTTAAGGATTATATCTCTCATAGCATCGCATACGCCATGGTGTGTATTCTAAACCCACGCGACAAGGAGACTAAATCGTCACAACAACCAAAAAGTACTTTAGAATCAGCAGGATGATTTTCTGCAATACTGTGATTGGCTACACATAAATACATTTGGCCAATCACATTACAGTACAAACCAATCTTCAACATACAATCAGCAGGATGATTTTCTGCAATACTGTGATTGGCTACATATAAATACATTTGGCCAATCACATTACAGTACAAACCAATCTTCATCATACAATCAGCAGGATGATTTTCTGCAATACTGTGATTGGCTACATATAAATACATTTGGCCAATCACATTACAGTACAAACCAATCTTCATCATACAATCAGCTCAAACAACAACTTATCCACATCTACACTGTGTGAATCGTGGGCAGGACAATATTTTTACAAAAGTCCGTAATGGATAAATAATAAAATCCTCTTTTTTTATAGTTTAACACATCACAGTATAGAAAAACACATAATACAAACAATAGGTGTGGACAAAAGTCCAGTGCGTTTTTTGGGTCGTCCAAGGACAATACATTTGAACTATCTATCAATCAATCAAAATCAATCTATCATTCTATCAATCTATCAATCTATATCCATCGTACCTCTTGAACAGATGCTGCTCCTACAGCAAACCCATTGCTTCCCTTGACAAGTTTGAGCTCGTCCTTCAAGTCGGCGACTTGCCTCTGATACTTTTTCATCTTTTCCTCCTGAGACTTGATAAGCGCTGCATGGGTCGACATGAGGCGGAGGTTGGCTTTCGACTGCTGCTTGTTGTGCTGGTTGAGCGCCGCGAACGACGCGCCCGCCGCCGTGTACGCGTCTTTAATTCGTTTGTTTTCGTTCTTGAGCTGGTCCATTTCAGAGATATCTCGGTCGTGGACGTCGCGCCACTTTTGCACTTCGCGCTGGAGGGTTTCCAACATGCGACCAGATTCGTCCTAGTATTATTCGACCACATATAGTCTCAGTGCAAACATACATATATATATATATGATTTTGATTCAATCGGGATGAAAAAACGCTGATACTTCAACCCTGTCACATACACTGGTACTCTCTGTCACACAATACCACTCGACATGACATCCTGGGATGCAATATATATTGTGAATTCGATTCGAATTTGGAGGGGGGCTCGTGTTCAATCGAAGGAGCAGCACCAGAGCCACCATCGATCGACCAATTTTATGAAATTAAGTGACCAAAACGCTAATAATTCTCAACCATTCCACATCAAATTCGTATATGCGTTGATTTCGAGTGAAATTTCATTGTGTTGTGGTTTCTCGTTGGAATTTAAATCGATTTGATTGGCTACCTCAGATAAGCTCAAAATTATTAGCCAATCAAAACCTTCGCAATGAAATTCAACCAATCAGATCGATTGTGGATCGGTTTGGTCGGCGCGATTCGATTGCACCCCAAATTTGTATATCAAATCGACAATATGCGTTGATTTCATGTGTGCGTACATTCCAACCACATTTCCATCCATTTACAAAAAGACTCGGTTAATCGGGATGCGGTGAGAATCAGAATCAGCGCCACATACACCCATACATCAAACTTTGATAGGACAATATATATATACAAATCCACAGTTTGGCTACAAGGACAATATATATATATATATATATATATATACCCACAGTTGGACTTCAAGGACAATATATATATATATAGATAGATGATAGATACACACCAACAAGGACACGTCATCCACAGACAACCCCGCTGCGAACATGCCCGCCGATGGCGGCGGCGGCGGCGGCGGCAAGATCTGCTTTGTCGTTGGTAGGAGGGATATTCCCATCGCCCCTTGCTGCTTGTGTTCATCCAGCGCTCGTCGCTTCTCTTCGTCTAGGCGGGTTTTCAGGGCCACAATATCCATTTCCATGGTCTGCTGGGCGCGGAGTTCTCGCTTGTGGGCATGGAATTTCGCCTGTTGAGTGCGCTGCTTGGCTTGTGCTTGCAGCAAAATCACAGCTTGGCGGAACTTGATGTACTCTTTTTTGGCAATGTACTTGCGATAATTTCGCTGAACCAGCACGACGCTCAATGTAAACTGGCGCGTAGCCAGAGATCGACGACTCGCGCGGCCCCGCCACAGCGCCTGCAGCCGCGTCACCCGACGCCGAGTCTGCTGGAACTTCGTCGTGGTCGTGTACTGGCGGAATCGGGCCTGAATGAGCACGGCCGCGGTACGCTGTCGCAGAAACCACCGGCGGCACAACAACCTACGTCGTCAGGATCGATGTGACTCGAGTTGTGCGCGTTTGCTTGCCATGGGTGGATGAGAGGTAGTTGATATTTAGATATAGATATATATTTAGATATATGGACAAAGGAAGAGGTATTATTTGGCATATGAAAAGGGAAATGAGGATAATTATATATAAATATATACATATGTCACCAGACGTGAGCACGAACGATATCAAGATTAATAGATCGGTTCAGGAGATGGTTGAAGAATACTAGTATTATCTATATATATAGTACTGATGAAAAAGGATCGATTTGTTGCATATGGAAACGTGAATGAGGTATACAGTATATATATATATATGGACAACGAATCGCTTTTTCTTGTATATGGATTATATATATGTACGTATTAAATATATATATGGTTCTATGTGTATATATATATATATATTGGGCGTACCCTCGCACCATGCGTTGTAACAGCGTCGCTCGTGAATGCATCCGGTCCATTCGTTGGGTTTCCAGCTCTATAAAGGAAATCACCATTATAATATCTCTATTTTAGTGCATTCATAAATCAGCCATATGTATAATAATATGACCGTCACACGAACCAAGGGAGTTTTCTATTTCTAAAATACCAGCTATAGGAAGACCATGGATTCGATATGCTACTTGGCGAAAAGAAATCACTCACAAGTCCAAGTTTGGGGGGGATATGCCCAATATATCGCATTCCATTGTTATAAATGGATGGTATTTCAACACACATCAAACATAGACATCACAACAACCATACAAAAACTACGAAGCCATATTGTCAAATCGATTCGAAACTGGAGCCCTCAGCAGAATTGAATGTCTTAGGAGAATCGATTAAATAATCGCCTAAACCAATAATCAAATCACGCCAAGTCGAATATATCCTGCCAATCCAAACGTTTGGCCCCTCCAGCATTTTTGGGCAAAACCATATATATATATATAGACTGATCTTTGTAAAGTTTGTACATGCTTAAATTGGATCAAATGGAGTCGCGAATTGACTCAAATTTGGGTGAAATGCACACAATATATATCTTCTTTCATTACCTTCCAACACGCCCGCGGCAAAGAAAATGTGCAGCGACCCGAGCACAAACGACGTGGGGGACTCTGGCTGCCCGATCAACGCCGTCGCCAGTTGGGCGCAGGCCGCGCCCACAGTAACGACATTGGCTGCTTTGATTTTGGCGTTCTGGAGCAACTCGAAGCGGTGGAGGAAGCGCTCATGGGACAGCTTGTTGGGAAACGCGGCGCGGGAGATGCGGATCGCTTCGACGACGCCGGCGCAGCGGAGTTGGTCAGCCACGTCCCGAAAATCAAATGCCGAGCTCGACTTGACAGCGTTTGGCTTGATACATCGGACGTAGTGCACCTGTGTGGCAGCAATATCTGCCATAAGGCCGGCCAACTGCGTCTTGAACTTGGACACGACCGTCTCCCCTAGATATATATATATATATATATTGTCGATATGGTTTGGAGTGTGAGGACAAAATGAAAAATCGATATACGACCAATCAAAACCCAGAATACGAATCCAGTGGCCAATCAAATTATCCACTCTTCAAACATCGAATGATTCATGGGGGACTTGAAATCGTGTGCATGGATGGCGATGTCACAGAGTAAGTTGACATATACAAAAGTCATTATTGACCGATGGATTCATCCGCGCGAATATTCAAATTTTAGCTGAAAGCACGATACAAATATATCCTCGTTGGGTATATATATATACTAGCATGTCATTCCCTGTATGTATATAGTCGCGAATATCCAATTTTTAGTAAACAATATATATATATATACAATACATACATATATACAATACAATTTTACATATATATATACAATTCATATATATAAATATATACAATACATATATATAATACATATATATATACAATACATATATACAACACATATATATACTATATATATATATATATACAATACATATATATATATGTATTGTGCTTTCAGCTAAAATTTGGATATTCGCGACTATTTATATACAGGGAATGACATGCTAGTTGGCCACTACCGAAGTTTCGGAAAGCCTGTCCAATCATAACCGAGAAGTTTGGGGCAAATGTATGATCCGTAACAGCAAGCCAATCATATCCGTTCATCTTGTCTCAAATTCGAAACAGCATGACTTTGGCCAACTACCATGTCGTTCCCTGTATATACATACATACATATATGTATGTATGTACCCAACGTATATGTAGAAATATATATATATAACACCCATGACACCATTTCGTTACCTGCATTTATGCACCCCAACATGGATATATATATACAGTATATATAAGATACCCATGAAACCAGACGAGATGGACCCGCGCCGGCTGCTGCGGTGGGCGGATGATGACGTGGTGACGTCTTGGAACACGTGGCTCACGAGGTGGTTGGAACTCGTGGCCAGCAGCGACACGACTTCAGTGGACAGCGCGTCTTTATTGGTTTCCACGAACCCATCCACACAGTACATGACTGTGCCCGCGTAATGTTTGAGGGCGAAATGCGAAGCGCTTAGCTACGGTATTAAGTATACAAAAAATTAGTGAAATAATATACACCCTACAAGCATGACTAGAGCAGGTGGGCATTTAGAATATTATTGAATACGTTATTATAAAAAGCCAAATGAGAACATTCGAATGCACATACATACATATACCACAACAGCAGCGTGTACATAATAACTGGAAAAGTTGGCATATACCACAGGGCATGATATTCTGTATTCTAGTTCAAGCAGAAACTACCATTGTTGCTCTATTGTTTTCATTTACCTATATTTTTAGAACAATCATACCTTTGTAGAAAGTTCTTGGAAAGATGATGGTTTTGAAAAAAATAATAAATAAATATTTAAAAGAGATAGATGCTAATGAAATTCAAGGTGTAATAGATGCTCCTTTTAGAATGGCTATTCATTTTAGCTTTATTAGCTTTAGGTAGTATCTTAATAGGTGATTTAACTAATAATACGTTTAATTTTAAATAACTTATATAAAAAAGCCTACTTGGTGAAATATTTTTTTTTGGTTGTCTATATGGACCATAATATAAACCCCTAAGAATCAAAATTATTTTCTATTGCATAAGTTTTCTTAAACAAAACAACATTCGAATTATAAAATCACGAATTGTAATATCTATTTTTGAAAAAAAATAATATATTTTTTTAATAAATTAAGGCAAAGATACTTCTACTCTTGCGAAGGATCGTATTGTCGAATCTTCAAAGGAATGGAAGTACAAGTGAATACAATAACAAATCACATTTAACAATATATAAAGGTTGGTTCCCTCTGTTGGGAAGGAGGATTTACTTGAGACTTGGCATGGTTTCAATGGTGAAACGATAGGACACACATATATATCACACAGAACATCAGCCGTCCAACGCGAAAGTTGGGTCGATAAAGCATATCTCCAACAAACTCATGGAGATAAAGCAAGGATAATGGCGACCTTATGGAACCATATATATATTGAATATGTCGAGTTTCTTGGATCTCGTCACACCCAACTGGCCACTAGGATTTAGCCATATTCCGGTGGTAGAAATATATCACGCACATGTATATTCACTGGTGTAGAATAACAACCGAATTAGTGTGATAGACATCATACGTCCTACACCGTGTGTATTTTAAAAAATAGTGACAACGATTACAACGATTGATCATGTTTTGCATGTACAAAACATAATCGATATTTGATAGGGAACCACAAGAACGAAGTCGAATAGTCGTAAAAATTCAGGACGAAACAAACATGGATAGAGTTGTCCAATTTAATCGCACAAGACAACCAATCTGTCAGACGAATCATAATGTTTATATTGTCGTATTTAAAACATCGTCTTTATTCCAAACTGGAGCGATTTGTGCAGAAGAATCAGCAGTACAATTTAGCTCATCAGATTGCAGGAAAAAATATCGGCCTGACCAATAAACAATTGATTCGTGAGTGACTTGAATTAGTGTGATGGGTACCGTAGATACGTTATTACCTACCAAAATTCAACACAAAACATCGATTCATAGATTTGGCAAATCAACACAAAAGTCTAAATTTTTGGCTGAATGGGCAATATAGTATGGTGGTGATTTGTACCCGTGCTTTTTGCTTGTCCAGGCGTGGGTGAACGTCGTGTGTGGACGTAAGCTTGGAGCAGAACGTGAGGTCGTTGCCCATGGGTCGGATGCATTCTTCGTTGAGGAGCGAGATCACTCCTAGGGGGGCTTCTAGGAGGTCTAATAGGTCCTGGTTATCTTTAAATTGGACATAAGTCCATCCAAGCCCTTCTTGCTCGTATTCCTATATGTCCATGGAGTCGTTTCGTTAATAGCGTATTCGTGTTGGATTCTATAGTTGTTTCTATATATTTTCTCTTTTTTTCTTCTTTTTTTAGAAAGTTGATTTGATTGTTTCAATCGATCGTATGTATTGTCCATTCGATTCAGGTGGGGTGCTTGGTCACTGAGCAGAAACCTTAAATCCACAGATAATCCATCGACCAATCAAAACCCACAACAAGAAAGTAAATGTGACCAATAAAAAACAATTTGATATTTTTTCATTCTCTATCGAATAAATGTGTGATATCAATCAGTATCTGGAAACTTCATGGCATACAAATATCAGTCCAAAAACTCTACGGGATTACTGTAACAGCACAAACGGCCACATTTTGGCTCAATGGACAAGAACTAAGGTACCTCTTGCACGGTCTTGAACACGTCGTGGGTGAATTTCTGCTGCAATTTCTCGTTCGCAAAATTGATGCAAAATTGCTCAAATCGGTTCGTCGCGAACGCTTCAAACCCGAAAATGTCGAGCAAATCGATGTGTGTGACCATCGCGTTGTCGTTGGAAATCGATTCGTTTACACATTGCACCTACGGTTAAGCACAGTTCCAAGCTTAGGCATAGTATGTTTATATATATTTATATACAGCTTACAAAGAAGAATATAAATTACACGATCATTCACACAACATATATATATATATATTGTGTTTTCACCCAAATGTGCCAAAACAAAAAATTGTTTAGGGGATTGTTGCAATCACCAACACATCGAGAGAAAATAGTGTGATTGGCTAAAAATAAAAGGTTGCATTATGATTGGCTGATGAAGGGTGGTGGTTACCACCCGCCAGAGGAAATTTGGAGAACAAAAACACACAATATGCATGTTATCAAATGATATTATTCTTCACACTATATACACGTTTCTTTGATCGACCCCATATACTCGTCCTCAATCAATTTCTCGATCATATTTTTTTGTAAATACATACAACATCAAACATCCAAAGTAATTATATTTCACAAATGTCAACCAACCATCCATCCATCGATATATGCCGTACCAAGTACCCAAACAATCTGGCGTATATTTCTTTGGCCATGGCATCTCGATTCATCTGCGCTTGATCGATGCTTAGCGGCACAACATACACTTCCAAGCGTGCTTTCACCGTCCGGTTACACAGACTCGTTGCTAACGAGCGTGGGTCTAATCCGAGCAACGTGTACGTCATCGTCCATGCATCGGATGTCATGTCAGCATTGCTGCTGCCATCGTCGGAGTTTCTCGGCGTAAACGAGACCTGGCCAACATGCAAAATGCCCGCGAGTGCGTCCAGCAGCGCCAACTGGTCTAGTTGGGGCATGCCAATCGTGGTCAAGGCTTCCCTTGTCGCAGTGTACCGTGTCGCATCGAGTGAGAACGACGACGACGATAGGGACCGGTCGCCTTGCAAGTAGGCAAACGATGTCGCATGTTGATTCTGATTTGGTTGATTTTGTAGGAGGTTCCACCTTGGGTCGTTAGATGCCACGAGCTGGTAAAAGATGTGGTAGTTGCGCTCGTGGGGATCGGATTGAGTCACCACTCTGCTCTTCTCAAGCAAGTAGTGCCGACATTTCGCGCCCACAAGCTGATGTTCGTGATCAAACTGGAGCTGCGTAAACTTGCCGAACCGGCTCGAGTTGTCATTGCGGATGGTTTTCGCATTCCCAAACGCTTCCAAGAGGGGGTTACTCTTTAACACCTTGGCGACGACCGCCAAGTTGGAGGACTGGCCTTGCGTGGTCGTGCTCATGGTCGCAAGGTGTTCCATGAGGATCTTGACCGTCTCCGTCTTGCCCGCGCCAGACTCGCCGCTCACGAGGATGCCTATCGTGGATGAGGAACGATATGCGTGTATGTATGGATGGACACGTACTCTGGTGGCGGTCGTATTGGATCATGGACGTGAACGCGGACGCACTGGTGGCATACACGTGCGGAGGGAGACTCGATCGGCGGTCCTTTCCCATATACAGAGCCTGCGTTGCCTTGGAATACAACCCGTCCAACCACGCATACGGGTTGACCGCTACGACGATGTCGCCTGTATACGTGTACGGACGCTGCTGCAGGAAGCGCGCGCGGAGGTTGTACACGATCGCAGGTTCATGCAGATGGTTGAGGGTGCACATGTCGTTGACCGATCCATGCACGAGGGGGTCGTCGTTCTGCAGCGGAAGCTCGGACGGCATGCTCTCGTCGCGGAGGTCGACCCATCGATCGTCGATTGTCGTGGCGTTGGCGTGGACGAGGCGCACCAGCACGCGTTTCCCGCCATCTTCCGTGCGCAGGACAGTCCCAGGCACCCATGCAAGCTTCTCATCGGGGATGTATACCTGGCTTCCTTCCATGATGCTGCCGCCGCCGTGGAGTCGTCGGGTCGCAGGGCAATGCCGTTCAAACGAACCGTCCAGTTTAAACGTGAAAGTCGATTACGTTTAAGCACGTTTTATGGAGTTTTTTTACTGTTTAGTATTGATGAACTTATGGGAAGTACTTACTCCGGAGTACTATTAATACACCTATTTTGGATTAAAATTCGACTTTTTGACTCGAAATCTCGGTTTAACTAAATAACATTATATGTTCTTTTTTAAAAGAACATATAATGACATACAGATTTGCATACGGTTTATTAAAATAAACCGTATGCAAATCTGTATGTCCTATCTCACGAGTGAGGCACGGCGAGATGGACGAGTATGGTATGGCGAATGGAGGTGAGAGGAATGCGAGTTGCACTAAGCTTATCGTGAAGAGATGGAGGAGAGGCAGCCTTCCACAACACCCCCAAGCTAACACCGTCGTGGCTCCTGGTCCTACTAACGTTAACGCCAACCAGTTTTGACTTAACGTTAGTCGTACATGTGTACACCTTTCCCATACATAAGCCACCAACCAGTACAGTAGTTCAGGCAATGTTGTATTCGTACGCTTGACGTTAGCCAGTCCTTGGACACTACGAATGACGCACACCTCCAACTTGAGACGATATCGCCATTTTCGCCATGCATTTGTGACGCCCAAAGAACCTGAATATGTGCGTTTCAAAATCCTTCAAATGTCAAGAGGATTTTGCCGAAATCTACCAAGATGCACGTATATTAAATTCCTGATGTTTAACGCATTGTTCGTAACGTGATGCTACTGTAATTTGACAAATCTATTGTTCAAAACTTGACGTTATAACGTAATATAACGTAAGGCCGAGTCTGGATGATACCCATCGAAAGAAATTATATGTCAGAGAAATCCCTTTTCCTTTTCAAAATGGGAGGAGGAATAAATAATATCAGTATTGTGCTTTCGAGTGAAATTTCGTGTTGTGGTTTCTCGTTGGAATTTAAATCGATTTGATTGGCTACTTCAGAAGACCTCAAAATTATTATCCAATCAAAACCTTCTCAATGAAATTCAACCAATCAGATCGATTGCGGATCGGTTTGGTCAGCGATTCGATTGCACCCCCTCCCCAAATTTGTATCAAATCGACAATAGTAAAATATCTTGATGGGAACCCTGAATGGGAACTATTGCTGGAATAACATGTAGGTAAAAATTGAACAGTTGCAGTTGAAACTTCATTCTGTCAGAAAACAGTAGAAATTCGACGTATTAGCGAGATTTCGGGGCGAAATATTTATCCTTATCCTCAAAAAAACCTGCTGAGATGAATAAAGTTGGGGAAACCTCCGGAAACTAGTAAAGGATTCCTCAAAACCACCCAAGTTTGAGGATTCAACGACTTCTCCGTGAACAGTCGCCATTATGAGCGACGATGCTTCAACGACACGCGCCAACACGCGAAACATGCGCCCGCAATCCAGTAAGCGTGTGAAATCAACTGCACGCCGTGCTACAGACCAGGCGCACGAAGACGAGCCAGGCAGCAACGACGTAGTCCTTGCTGACCTCTCTCCCGAAGAACGCACAATGCGCAGCCCACCTACTGCAAACGCAAAGACGTGGTGGTCTGAAGACGATGACCTCCTCCTTCTAATTCAGACAAACATTGAACGTCCGTTCTTAGCGTTAAAGAACAAGATGATGGCGTGGAACGACACCGCAGCCGGCTGCATGCGCATCGATGGGTTTGGCCGCAAGTCGCTAAATGGGAAGAAGGCCTCGCAACGGTTCCAATTGCTCCTCGAGAATCATCGTCAGTTTCAAGCGAAGTCCAAGTTCATGTCTGGGGGGACCCAAAAGGAAACGGAGAAGACAGTCCTGCTGGACGAATTGCTCGCGCTGATGGACGACAACAAGGCTGTCAAGGAAGAGCAGCATGTGGCCGAGGCAGCTGGCAAGGAGAAGAAAGCGAGCGCTACGGCGTTGATTCGG